TCTCGCGATCGCTGTATTCTTCCACCTGGGGTCTTGCGTAGGTTGCTGTGTCGCCAGCTTCCTCTTCAGGTTTTTCAGAGTTCAGTGCCTTGGTGCCTCCCTGTTCCCCTGTTCAATGTGTTCACGGCTGCCTCGTCTTTTGGCTGGGGTTTTGTGACCAGTACTCCCCAGGCCGGTTCAGGTGGTTGGGGTCCATCATTCCGCCAGGCTCACGGTACAGTGCAGGAGTTCGTGGCGATGTGGCTCTCACTGTGGCGGATTCAGGTCACTCGGGGCTTTGTGATCTGGCTCCATTCGGACTGTTTCCCAGTGATTCATTGAAGCGACCCCCGTCCACTAACTGTTGGAGGGTGTCACTTCAGTCCGTGGCTCTTTAGAACTGGTCGCTTCGAGTGGCTCTTCTGTTGAGTTCTTGGGGTTTAGCTCTTCGTACGGTTCACATCCGAGGGTTGTCCAACATCCTGGCAGATGCCCTGTCTCGGTTTATTTCTCTGTCACGGAGTGGGACGGTCGACACCGACTCCTGTTGGCTTTGCTGGTCGTTTGGGTGCCTGGACGTGGCCCTCTTTGCGTTGGCTCGGCGCCTTCCTATACTTGTGGCAGCCTTCCCTGACTGCAAAACATTCACAGTAGACACTTTTCAGCTGGATTGGTCGAGGTGGTGGTTCTTTTACCTCTTCCCCCAGTCCAGCTGTTGCTTTGGGTTCTGGCGAGGCTCGAATCCTTTCAGGGGCGAGTGATTCTCCTGACTCCTTGGTGGCTGGCCCAGCCTTGGTTTCAGGCGCTGCTTGCTCGGTGTCCGAACCCGAGATTTTCTGCAACTCTGCTTCTTTTGGCAGGTTAGGCCAGTGACGTCCATTACTGGTTTACTCTACTGCTCTGCTCTTCACATTTGGTGTTTTTGACGCGAGTGTATCACCATTTGTGTGGTGATCAGGTGACTTCTCTGCAGGTGTCCCACCTGTGGTCTTCCTCTCGGTGACTGTATGAAGTCTTTTGGCAGTCTTTTCGCCATTTTCTTTCCCTTCATCGGTTGTTGTCCTTTCTCTCTTGGTTTTTCAGAACAGGCATCCGATGCAGAATACCGTCTCTTCTTATTGTGCAGTGCTGGTGAAGTCGTGCCAACTTGCGTTCAGGGTGGATTTTGCTTCTGCTCCATTTCACAAGCACTCTCGTGCATTTTTTCACCTCCGGCCTGCTCATGCGCCGCCTGAGCTGTCCTGGTCTTTGGATCGGGTGTTCTTTTCTCCTTGGTTTGTTGTGGCTCCTTTGGTTCATGATTGCTTTTGGAAGGTGTTGGCTTTGGCCTTTGGGGGGGTCGGGTTGGGAAGCTTCCTGCTCTCTTCTAGCATATAGCTTTTCCTTTGGCTCTGGGGATCGTTTTGCTCATTGGCAGCCGTCTCTTTTCTGGCGAAGAATGAGACGATGGGCCGACAATGAGGAGGGGTCCGTGGTTTCTTGATGCTTGGTTGGTCAGGCCAGGGGTATATCATGTTTTGTGTCCAGTTGCGGCTCTCCACTGTTACCTGTGCGCTTCGGGTTCTGTGTCTGAGGACGCGCTTTAGGTTGATCCGTTTTCCCTCATTTCCTGTTCCAGGGCTCGGGGTCTATCAGGTCGTCCGCAGGGTTATCAAGTCAAGCCAGCCTGCAGTCTACTCTTGTGCCCTTGATTTTCGGAAGTTTGCAGCTTTTGCTGCTGTCTTTGGTAACATGTCTTGGGTTAACATTCGAGCATGGGGGTTTTGGAGGTCGAACAGGGTCCTGGCCACCTATTATCTTGTGGACGTTCCGGGCCCTCAACGCCCTTGTGTGGCCTTGAGCCATCGGTTACAACCAGTTGTCCTGTCTTCGTCATGAGGCACACAGTGCTGCCACCTCCCGGGTAAATCCCTCTCTTACTTATCTTTAGGTATCTAGCTCCAGGGAGCCGATGGGGCTCCCCACAAAAAGCCAGCATTGAATGTAATGACACAACATTTTTCTGGGTGAGCCCCGGAGGCTTCCTGGCACCCTCCCTCCCTCTGGTCGACAGTTTTTATTTTTTGTTTGCTCAGTCTCTGAACTAGTGGGTGAGCGGCCGGCTCGGGTGAGCGGGGCCCCCTTCTCCGCAAAGGGGGGACATGTTGCATTGTTTTTCTTGGGCTCTGTTCGGTCTTGGGTTGTAATTTTCAACCAGTTGGGGTTTGTTTTGGGCGGCTTACCTTTCTGGGTGCCTAACCACTGTTGATGGCAGACATGAATATATTCTCAAAAAGTGGAGATTTCATTGGCCATTGCTCCCTGCACCTCTTTGTGTGAACCAGGTTCTGGCTTGTGGTTTCTGGTAGGCAGAACTCCACATGACTGAAGCCCCAGAATAATATAGCATATACAGTGGTACCTTGGGTTACGAACGTCCCTGTTTACAAACTTATCGGGTTACGAGCCCAATTTGTTCGGAAAATTTGAATTGGGATACGAGTTTGTTGATACTCGTATGGGCGACCTAGCGCGTAGTGGTACAACGATCGCGCCTCAGTTTACCAAAGCCTCACACCCAGTGACTATCCCGCTTGAATTTTTCGCAAGGATTTACAGTTTCTTTTTGTTTTCTGGCTATTTGAGTATAAAAGTTATTATATATCTTGCCATGGGTCCCAAGAAAGCCAGTGGTAAGGTTCAAGGCAAGAATACACATGTAAGAATGACCATAGAGGAAAAACAAGAGATCATTGGTAAACATGAAAATGGTACTTGTGTTGTTGAACTAGCTAGGCAGTACAACAAATCTTCAAGGGAGGAAGAGGAGGCAGTAGAGAATGTCCCTTCCTCATTAATTAAGAAAATGTGTGCAGTATGGGAAGGACTGCAAAGTTTTCCTGAAAAGAATCACTCAGAGAAAGTTGTAGTAGGCCATTGCATTGATCTTTTCAATGACAATGTGATAACTCACTACAGACAAGTGTTGCAAAGAAGGGAAAACCAATCTTCAATGGAATATTTCCTTGTGTGAAAAGTGAGAAAATCAAGCAGTGAGCCACAACCAGGACCTAGTGGTATGCAGGCAAAACGTGCCAGAGAGTGCACTCCAGAGAAATCTTCACTTCCTGATTTTATAATGGAAGGGGATTCCTCTTCCAAACAGTAACACTTCTCCTCCTCTCCCCTCCTCACCATCTTCCATACGCCAACAGGAATCATCAGCAAGGGTAAGTAATAACTTGAACATACTTTTGTAGTGAAGATTTGGGTGAATTAGGTATAAAATTTACTTTGAAGTGAAGTTTTTTGGGGAGTGAGGAACGGATTAATTCATTTCCCATTATTTCTTATGGTAAAATTCGTTCGGTTTACGAATTTTCGGGTTACGAACCATCTCCAGGAACGGATTAAATTCTTAAACCAAGGTACCCTTGTCAGCTCGGTATGCTCCAGGGAGCCTCCGGGGGCTCGCCCAGAAAATGGCGTTTCGTTACATTCAATGCTGTTTTTTTCGTATTTGATATATAACCAAATACCTGCAACCAATACCTGTAAGGAACTCAAGCTGTGAGAATCTTTGAGTCCTGCAGGTCAGGGAAATATCATAAGCTCTTAAATTTCAGACATTCACTTGTAACTAAACTTGAGGGGGCACCCAGCGTTGCTCGGGTAATGGAACCTACCTCTTCACTAACACAATATTTATTTATATTCACACACTCAGACCTTGACAAAGCACTCAGGAGAGTGCAAAAACCTTGGTGTAAATTCCTTACATAAATTTTACAAATACACATGTGTGGGTTTTATCCTATGTTATTATGTCTGTGAGAAGACATTACCATTACTTACCATATTCATCACTGTAATCACTATACACAACCTTCAACACTGTATAATCATTTACACCTTACACAATCCTCTTCATCACTGTAACCATCTGCACTACAACCATTATCATTACTACCTTCTCCATCCTTTGCTACCCTTTCCTCTCCTTTGCCACCCTTTCCTCTCCTTTGCCACCCTTTCCTCTCCTTTGCCACCCTTTCCTCTCCTTTGCCACCCTTTCCTCTCCTTTGCCACCCTTTCCTCTCCTTTGCCACCCTTTCCTCTCCTTTGCCACCCTTTCCTCTCCTTTGCCACCCTTTCCTCTCCTTTGCTACCCTTTCCTCTCCTTTGCCACCCTTTCCTCTCCTTTGCCACCCTTTCCTCTCCTTTGCCACCCTTTCCTCTCCTTTGCCACCCTTTCCTCTCCTTTGCCACCCTTTCCTCTCCTTTGCTACCCTTTCCTCTCCTTTGCCACCCTTTCCTCTCCTTTGCCACCCTTTCCTCTCCTTTGCCGCCCTTTCCTCTCCTTTGCCGCCCTTTCCTCTCCTTTGCCGCCCTTTCCTCTCCTTTGCCGCCCTTTCCTCTCCTTTGCCGCCCTTTCCTCTCCTTTGCCGCCCTTTCCTCTCCTTTGCCGCCCTTTCCTCTCCTTTGCCGCCCTTTCCTCTCCTTTGCCGCCCTTTCCTCTCCTTTGCCGCCCTTTCCTCTCCTTTGCCACCCTTTCCTCTCCTTTGCCACCCTTTTCTCTCAGAGAGACTCACGCAGGTATTCATAGAGCCACCCACAGAAAAACTCAAGAGACACTTGCAGAAACACTCACAGAGACACTTACATAGGCACTCATAAAGATACAGATGTACTCAAAGATATACTCAGAAACACATCTCCTTTGCCACCCCTTTCCTCTCCTTTGCCACCATTTCCTCTCCTTTGCCACCCTTTCTTCTCCTTGATATGGTATTCTTTTGTTTCATCAAATATAAGGCATTTAATTCTAATTTACTGTATTGTGTTTTGGCTTTAATTTATTTTTCAATACCCAGTACTGTACTGTGTTGTAAATGTGAGCGCCAAATGAGTCACTTGTATGAATAGACTGGACATGTTTTAATATGTTGAAAGTTAAAACAATTCTTCTATATCTTAAACAATGAAAACTTAAATACTGCATCAGAATACATGAAATATAGGTATGCTTTTCCTTTTGGCAGGCAAAAAGAGGAGGGATGCTGAAATTTGGACACCTAGAGATGATCCGCATGGGTATTGCCAGGAGGATTGATGTCAACAAGATGTTTGCTGTATGGAGGATTGAAGCCCCTTGGAAGCCAATCACTAGAAAAGGTCAAGGGAAGAGAATGGGCGGTGGTAAAGGAGGAATTGATCACTATGTGACACCAGTAAAAGCAGGCAGAGTCATTATAGAAATGGGTGGCAAATGCTCCTTTGAAGAGGTATGTTATTTGTGTGTAATTACCTAAATAATTTACCTAAGTAAATTTACATTATATTACCTAAGTAATTATTTAATTATGGTAATTAGGTAATTACATGATGTAATTACCTAAGTGTAGTTAAAGGATGAGAGCTACACTCGTGATGCCTCGTCTTCCTAGTACTCTTTGTCATATAACGCTTTGAAACTACTGACAGTTTTGGTCTCCACCACCTTCTCACTTAGCTTGTTCCAACTGTCTACCACTCTGATTGCAAAAGAAAACTTTTAATAATTTTTTGGCACCTTTATTTCCTTAGCTTGAATCTGTTGTCTTGTTCATGAAGTTGCTAGTTTCAGGAATTCCTCTTTGTCAATTTAGTTGATTCCCATTAATATTTTGTAAGTGGTGATCATATCACTTCTTTTTCTTCTTTCTTCTAGTTTTGGCATGTTTAGCCCCCTCTAGTCTCTCTTTGTAACTCTGTTTTTTTAGTTCCAGAAGTTATTTTGTAGCATGCTGTTGCACCTTTTCCAGTTTATAAGCTTCTTGAGATTTGGGCACCATACTACTACTACTGCATATTCCAAGTTTGGTCTCACAAAGGTCATGAACAGTTTTTTGTAGTATTTCACCATCCATGTAAATAAAAACAAGTTTGAAGTAGGAAAGCGACACATACTCTCCTCTCACAAGGCTCTTTGTGCTCCTCTGGTGACATCTTTTATTCAAAACCATCTCATTCTTTATATTAGTTTTGTAATTCCTTTCTACATACTTTTTAAGTTGTGTATGGTCTATTTTCTCAGATTCCACACACATTCACACACACATAAAGGTGTGTGTGAACAGAAGAAGATGAGAAGGTGATGGAGGCCAAAACCGTCAGTAATTTCAAAGCGTTATATGACAGAGTGCTGGGGAGACGGGACACCACGAGCGTAGCTCTCATCCTGTAACTACACTTAAGTAATTACACAGGGGCTTGGTGGCCGAGTGGGCAGCGCTCTTAACTCATGGACCTAGGGACCGGGGTTCGATCCCCGCACTCGGCGGAGACAGATGGACAGAGTTTCCTTAATCCTGATGCATCTGTTACCTAGCAGTAAATAGGTACCTGGGAGTTAGACAGCTGCTATGGGCTGCTTCCTGGGTGTGTACTCACTTATTTGTGCTTGCGGGGGTTGAGCTTTGGCTCTTTGGTCCCGCCTCTCAACTGTCAATCAACTGGTGTACAGATTCCTGAGCCTACTGGGCTCTATGTGTGTGTGTGTGTGTGTATGTGGAGGAAAAAAAATAGTAGTTAGTAACAGTTGATTGACAGTTGAGAGGCGGGCTGAAAGAGCAGAGCTCAACCCCTGCAAGCACAACTAGGTGAATATAACTTAATAGAAAATTACAAGGTGATGAGGAAGGGAAAGTATGGTCGTTAAGACAAGATCTTTCAAGATCTTGGCCGTACTTGGTACGTACTTGGCTCTTGGGGTCTTTTAATCCGGTTCATCCAGTGGTTGTCGAGATCCAGCATTGGCTATTTCTTGTTCACAGTAAATTTAAGTGGGTTGAGTTTTGTTGGGTACCCAGCCATATTGGTGTCTCTTTAAATGAGCGTGCGGATGCTGCCGCTTGGGAAGCTGTCCGCTCTTGTCCCATCTCTCGTAAAGGTGTTCCTTATTCCGACTTTTACCAGTTTATCCATTCCTCCATCCTCACCCATTGGCAGGCTTATTGGTCGTCTGTTACTGGTAACAAACTGCGTACTCTCAAGAGTTGTGTGTCCTCGTGGCTATCCTCCTATCTCCGTAACCGGCGATGGGAAATGGCTTTGGCGAGGTTGCATATTGGCCTTACTCTCTTAACTCATGGTCACTTGATGGAGCACCGCCCTGCTCCTTATTGTCCTAATTGCATTGTCCCTCGTACGGTCGTGCATATCCTTGTTGAATGTTCTGACTTCCAGGACGAGCGTGTGTCTTGCTTTCCGTTCGCCTTATGCGTTTCTGTTCTTGTACTGGCATCCTTGGTGATATTTAGTGCCCTCTGATTATTTTGCACATTTGATGGTGCTACATAGCCTTCCCGGTTTGGTGCCTTCTTTTGATAATTACTTACTTATTTCAACTCATTTTTCAGGCATCCCTGTGTACAGGAGTTGTAGCTGATGTGTGGAAAAAGGCCAACTTAGTTCCACTCTACAAAAGTGGCAGCAGGGAAGCAAGTCATCTTCTGTGACTTTGCATTTAGTTTCCCATTGATTCTTATCCTTCCATAATTCTTCCACTATCTCTTTAAGATAAGATACTGTGGTACTCAAGTGGTCATTACTTTCTCTCAATTTACTGATTATTTCTACATGATAAAGTTCACAATAATGTCCAATTTTGCCAACTTGTTGTGTAGACTATTTGTATTAATGCTTTCCTCAGTGAATCCACCAAAATCTAGCTCCATTTTGTTTTTCTTCTTGCTGGCTGCCATCTTGAATTTTGTCATCTGCACTGTTTACACTATGCAACTTTTTCTCATCCATTAATTTCACTTCCCCTGGCACATTCATGTTGTCTCACCTATTTTTCAAATACACTACACCTTTATGTTTCTTGGGACACCACTGACGGTCATCAACCTGTTCTACAATACTAGGAATTTCAAATATCCTGGAGCTACTCTGATGCAGGTGTTAACTCAGGGGTGGCTGCCTCTTTGTGTATGTGTTTCAGGACAGCCACTCTCTAAACCCTTGTAACTCTCTAACTTTTAGTGATACTGTACTGTATTTCTGTAGTAAAATGTTTAGTACAGTAGACTGTTTGTTTACGACTGAGTATTAATATGACTATTATTATTGGAATTTTCAGACATATTTTAATGAAAAATTTAAATCTGCATATATTTTATTTTCAGGTAAAACCAGTACTGAAGTTGATTGCCCATAAATTGCCATTTCCTGCAGAGGTGGTAAGCCAAGAAACACTTGAGGCTTCTCGGTTGGAGGAAGCGCGCCTCGAGAGTGAAAATATTAATCCCTATACTTTCAAGTATCTTATTCAGAATAATCTGATGGGTTGTCACAATTGGATCAAAAACATTGATAAGCAGTATTTTGGAAAGTACACTTGAAGCTCTGAGAAATATAATTGTTCACTTAAGCCATGTATAGTTTGTACTATTAAAAGTTAACAAATACATATATTATTTTACTCTAACCTGTTATTCGAAAAAGTATATTCAAAAGACTTAGTATGACATTTAATCGCAGGCTGAACAACATTAGGATTACTGTTACAGTCCGAGACTTTTAGGGCAGCCCACACACTAGCACAGGAAGCATCATTAGAAGGCATGGCCATCAACAACACTGCGTCTGTTGGCTCCAATGTGGGGTAAGCAGAGAGCCGCCATGCTCTACATGCTGCTGAGATAAATCCTCTTGACAGAGGGGAAGGGGGGGGAAATAATCTTTATGAAATACATTGACATGATCCACTGCTTCCATGGTGCAACTGGCAGCCATGTGGCGAACAAGCCCACACTTGTAGTATGCACAATGCTGCCTGTAATGCATAAAGCTAATGGCACAGCCTCCCACTGTAACAGAAGGTACATCCTTGCACAAGACCATTTTCATTGTATGAGTACCACTCAACAGGCTCTTTTTTTTTTTTTTTTTTCCCTGTCCAGATGTATACCAGTTGAGGCGGACCATCTCTACCTTACCCTATCTGCTCAGCACGCTTAGTAATGGTGTCATTAGACAGTTCAAAGTATTTTAAGTTTCAATGATATCTTCCCTGGTATGCCTGGTTTGCAGTGGTGTAAGCCCTGTGGCCCTCAAGCGTTCCTGTTAGGAGAGATGACTTGGCTCTGGAATGACTTTTGTTGTCCAGTGTTGCACCTTTTCCAGAGTAGCTATGTCCTTCTGAGAATGAGGTCTCCATGCTTGGATACAGTAATCGAAATGGGGTGCACTAGAGATTTATACAGTTGAACCATTACCTTCTTGTCCTTATATGTAGTCAAAAGTATGCTTGATTATCCCAAGAGTTTGGTCAGCTTTTCTGACTGCTGCTCCCACCTGTTTTGCAACTTTTAATGAGTGGTGGATTTTGACTCTTAAGGTCCTCTTCTTCATCAATCTGCTGTAATGTTGCTATTGCTGCTATTAATTTGGTAGTCATGGTGTGGGTGGTTGTACTCCAGATATAGTCTTGTATTTGTCAATTATAACAAAGCATTTGCCAGTCCTTCCCAATATGAATTTGAGTTAGGTGCGGCTCCAAATCCTCTGGTTTCGTTTCCGGGTGCCTTTGGGTTTCTTGTATTCGTTTTTCCGGAGGTTTCCTTCCTCTCGGATTTTCACTGGGGAGGTTCGGGAGGCCCTTGACATGTACCTCCTGCGAGACCCGGTTTATGCCTCTGATGGTTCCGGAGTCTTCTAGCTGGCAGACTGCCCCTTTTTCTTTCTTTGAGCTTGGCATGACTTTTGTCGTACACACACCCTTGAGTGGCGGGAGGTTTCTTCGGTGTTGCAGGTATTCTTGGGGGCTCACTCGAGTTTCTCAATGAGTGCCTCTTTGCCCCTGTGATTCCATATGATGTGGGTCTGGTCCAGTTGCATGCTTATGTTCTCACTCTTTCTGCTGTCTGTCTTGGCAGCTAAGGACCTTTGGACTCGCAGTCATTTGGCCTCAGTCTTGCACTTCTTCAGTCTTCTGGAGCTTTCTACGGACTGGCTTTCGGAGAATGGGGGGGGGGGCGATGAGTGAAAGGGCCTTCGGCTAGGGTTCTGGTTTCGGCTGCTGTGGCGTCGTCTTCCTTACTGAAGCTGTTTGCGCCGATTCTCTGGGATGCAGTTTCCACGTTTTTCTCGTCTTCACGTGTCAGTAGGTCATGCTGGTTGTCTTTGGATTTGGCTTGGGCCCTGGCTCTACAGTCTTCTTCGCTGTTCTGTCCTCTGTTGTTCCTGGAGGACGTCGTTGCCCAGTTTGTCGGCTGCTTCGGCCAGTTGCCATCCTATTTCAGACTTGTTGGTGTTCCAGGGGATCGATCTTGGTCCTCTCGGTTGGGTCGTGCCAGAGCTTGGGCCTCTATTGGTCAGGGTAGGCCTTTGGTGCCAGTTTCTACGTCGGTGGGTTCCCCAAGGCCTTCGTCGTCTGATCAGCGCACTGTTCACTCTGTATGGCGGTTGATTGGCTGGTGGGTAGGGCTTCACACTCACTCCTTGAGCCATCAAGTAACTATAAAAATACATATATTTTTGCTTTCACTTCAGTTATATTTATGACAAAAGATTTAAAATGTAGCTTATATTTCTACCTTTCTGATATAAAAAAAACTTGCATTTATTACTGTATCTAGATAAAATCAACATTGACTTCGAAAGGTCATAGTTCCTATCGATAGGGAGAGTGTTGGCCAAGAAACCTTTAAAATATGAATATCTTTCCTATCTAATAAGACCAAATCTATGTGATGGATTCGCAAAAACGATTTTATCACTACCTTTCTGATAACATATACAAATATAAGCTTTATTTGTTAATTTCTATTAATTAAGCAAGATATCACAGAACGTGTAAGGTTCAGTATTCTATGAGCAAAAAGACATGGGGTAGCTTAAATAGCGAATGCATACCAATAAAATATAACGATTAGTTTCTATATAAAACTATTGTCCTATGGAGTTGATTTAACTTTCAGACAATATTTTTTAATATATCTTAAATGTTTTGTGGCTATTTATGTTAGATATTATAAATAAGCATTCTACTTGTTAATATCACCAATTAAATTTACTGCAATTTGAGCATAGCAGTGCAACGACTGGATCACTGTGTACAGGAGGGTGATATGCCAGCAAACACTCCAGGCAATAATATATCTTGGATAAATTGCTTCACAACATTATCGCTTGGACCGTCGACTTCCTATGACGTCACTTGCCACATATTTACTTCGGGATTCGCCCGGATGGTCACCATCTTGGCTCGCTGATTGAACGCTCCTGGCTGGGCTTTCTTTCCTCACTCATCAAGAACTCATCTTTGAATTCGGCTGGCTTCTTTGGGCTAGTGTGTGCTCACTGCAATTATCCAGGAGGCTCTCACAGCACCGGGGAAAGCCGGAGCCTCCCAGAGCGTAAGCACTTCCAGGGCATACTGCCTTGGACGTAGATAGTCCCAGAGAGGCAAATGTCAGTTGGAGAATGAGCAAGCTAACTGCCCCAGACCAAGATGCTAAGAGGATGTCCTTGCCTTCAGAAGACCTTCCTCCTGTGGTATCTCATTCCTCGTTTGTGGTTCCCCTAATTCAGTCAACACTAGGTCAGTGTGTGTTTATGAATCCTCGTACCTTAAGTGCAGTAATTGAGGCTTCGGTATTGTGGCTACATTGCCTGCCTGAGACCGTGCGGTCCCTGGATAGGGGTGCAGCACTGAAGTTACACATCAGACAGGAGGATCTGTTGCACGTCCAGCTATCCGACATTATCATGTTGGGGGACTGGCTTGTCGGGTGCCAACAGGTATTGTCGCATGAGTAGTCTCGGGGCCCGGTATGGAAAGATCGGCCCAATTGATCAAAGTGTTGAAGTGGATGGCATCCAGGCCGCTCTGCAGGTATTAGAGGGTGCATCAACGGGATTACTGGAAATTATCAGGATTCGTGGAGCAGCAGGGCCGACACCCATGGTTCATGTAAAGTTTGATGGGCCCCCTACCTGACCGGGTGGCACTACACAGAACTTCGTATCAGGTCCAGCCCTACAACTTTCCTATATTACTATGCTATGCTTGCCATCTATTGGGCCATGGTTGCCTCACCTACCGTAATGCAGTATGCTGTGCAAACTTCGGCAACACAGATCACACAGATAGAGATAATGATGGGTGCTTTGCCGCACCTCGCTGCCTTTTATGTCATAGCCCTCACAAGGTCACGTCCAAGAGTTGCCTGATATACCTTGAGGCCCTCCAATTGGACATCGATTACGGGCTATTCATGCCCGTATCACCTTCTGGTTGGTTTAACCTTAATCAATCTTGGACATCGATCATAAAGCAGCGAGGACCATTCGAGAAAAGAACACTGCTTTTCCCAAAAGCGGTGGGTTTTCTGAGGGAAGAAGACGTAGGTCTGGGAGATGCGTCTAACTGCCCAAGCTGCGTGTGCATTGAGCCAGTGTTTATATAAGCCCTGCCCACAGACTGGAGGGCCCTCTGTTCTCGATGCACTCGACACGCACGCAGCTGCCTCACTTACAAAACTCCCACCCTCCTCTCAACACACATGCAGCTGCCTCACTTACAAAACTCCCACCCTCCTCTCAACACACACGCAGCTGCCTCACTTACAAAACGCCCACCCTCCTCTCAACACACACGCAGCTGCCTCACTTATAAAACGCCCACCCTCCTCGCGGGATCCTCTGCATCCCCTGTTTTCTTTTCCAAGGGATGACACACAGGCAGGCTCAGGGGGCACTTGTTCTAGCTTGCTAAGCATTTGCGGTATCTTTGGAGGTGCTCCGCTGGAACCCCCAAAGTAATAAGCATGCAGATAGCTAAGAAATAGTGTAAATTCAAATAATGCAACTTTCAATTGCTAACTATAGATGTAACTATTAATTGTAATTGATTTAATACTTTATCATTATAATGCTTATTCATTATAATTATTCTTTAATACTTTATTGTTATGCATTACAGTCACTAATTATTTATCATTCACCCTAATTAGCTATTTGATTCATTAAAATTATTGCTTATCATTATACTATGTTATTATTATATTATTTATTATATTATTTATTATATTATATATTATTATTATATAATAATAATAATTTATTATTTATTATTATTAATTTATTATTAATTATTATTTACTATTATAAAGTAAACGAGTCCCCACTCTGAGCGCGTTTTCTTCCAACCGCAGAAAATTAGTTTTCTGAGGTTGGAAGAAAACGCGCTCAGAGTGGGGGACTTGTTTATTTTATAATAAATAATAAATTGATAATAAATAATAAATAATAAATGAATAATAAATAAATTATTATTATTATTATATAATAATAGTAACAAAGTATAATGATAAGCAATAATTTTAATGTATCAAATAGCTAATTAGGGTGAATGAGAAATAATTAGTGACTAATGTATAACAATAAAGTAGTAACGAATAATTATAATGATAAAGTATTAAATCAATTACAATTAATAGTTACATCTATAGTTAGTAATTGAAAGTTGCATGATTTGAATTTACACTAATTACAATTCATGGTAATATTTCTTAGCTATCTGCATGCTTATCACTTTGGTGGTTCCGGCGGAGCACCCCCAAAGATACCGCAAATGCTTAGCAAGCTAGAACAAGTACCCCCTGAGCCTGCTTGTTCGTCGTCCCTTGGGTTTCACCTTACCAGGCTTCGCGATTAACCCATCACGGGTACGCCGGGGCGCATCCGATCCCACGATCGTCGTCGCCCCTAAATCAACAACAACTGCTGGTCCTATGGTGTCTTCCCTGCCCCGTGGAAACACGCCATTCTTCTACCATTGGCCAAGTCAGGGAAGGATCCGTCTGTCCCGAGTTCATATCGGCCCATAAGTCTGCTTCCATGTCTCGGAAAACTGATGGAACGTCTTGTTCACACCCGGCTACAATGGGTGGTGGAAACCTCAGGTCTTCTACCAGAGGGTATCAGTGGATTTCGGCCGGGAAGAAGCACGATGGACTGCCTCCTCTCCTTGGAACATTGAATAGTGGACACTTATCGCTGGAGAAGAGTGCTCCTTGCAGCATTCTTCGACATCAAGAGTGCATTTGACTGTCTTTCAGAGTCTGGAACTCTGCTGTCCTTCAGAGTCTGGAACGACTAGGTCTCTTGGGTCCGGCGTTGATGTGGTTCCAAAACTATCTACAGGCCCGGCCGCTCATTCAAAGTGGCGGTTGCTGGAGTCGTCTCCACGTCCCGCCCTGTCTCGCGTGGTATCCCCCAGGGAGCGATTCTGAGCCCACTATTATTCTCTATTCTTCTGTCTGATCTCCCTGTATTCCGGGGGTCCAGGTCTTAGCCTATGCCAACGATGTAACCCTCGTGGCGGATGGTGCCACTCTCCTAGAGGCACAAGGCTTCCTGCAAAATGCCGTGACTGTTCTCAGCAACTGTGCTGGGGAAGGGGTTCTCCATTAACCCCGTGAAAAGTTGCGTCATGAGTTTTACCTGGACCCGCTTACCAGACCAGCCAGTGGTGACCGTCGGGGGCTGTCGTCTCCCGATCGCTACGGAACACAGGTGGCTGGGGGTCGTTCTAGATAGCCCTCGGCTGACATGGAGGCATCATCTGGATTACCTTCGGGCCTCATGCCTTCGTTGCGTGAACATCATGAAACGGCTCTCTGGTGCGGCATGGGGGGCTTCACGGGAGTCGCTCCTAGCTCTCTATAAGGCCTTCATTCGTAGCAAGATCATGTATGCGAGTGAAGTCTATGGCTCAGCAGCAGCATCTGTCTTGGCAAGGCTGGATCCCATTCAAAATGGTGCCCTTCGCTCAGCGCTAGGAACTATGCCCTCCTCGCCAGTTATTTCTCTCCATGCCGAGTCGGGGCTATGGCCCCTGAGCTTTGAACGACTTCTCGTCCACTGCCGCCAATTTCAACGGATAGTGCGTCTCCTTGCTACCCATCCACTTACTCTCCTCCAACTCGAGGTTAACTGGTGGAATGTGCCGACTGGACGCTCCCGACGTCGTCAGTTGCCTTTCGTCGTCCGGGCCTTGGATGCATATTCACAGTTTTTCCTTCCCGTCCCTGTACTCACCCCTGGCCCGATCATCTCATCGGTGCCTCCGTGGGAAGAAGAAATCATTCGGGTTTCTGTCGACTTTTCCACGCCTCCTCGTCGGAAGAGAGATTTAGAGGGTTTGGTCCCTTTAATTTTTGCAGACCTACGAGCCTCCTTATACTCTGGATACTTGGAGGTTTACACGGATGGGTCCCGCAAAGATCAGCCACCATCTACATCTGCGGCAGCATACTTTGCTCCTTTTTCCTTCTGTCAGACGTGGAAACTCTCCCCTGCCCATTTGTGCCTGGCTGGGGAACTGTTTGCAATCTTACTAGCCTTACGACTCCTTCGACAAGTTTCAGGGCCCTCTGCAGTCGTTTTCTACGTGGATTCAGTTACAGCCCTACATCTCATATCATCTCGGCGTCCACAAGTCCATCGTCATACTGTGTCACAGATCCGTGGAGAACTGCTGTCATACTCTGGTACTCCGGGTTGGTCCATCTATCTCCAATGGGTTCCGTCACATGTCGGTATTAATGGCAATGAGGTGGCCGACGCAGCAGCAGGGATGGCGCATGCTCTCCATAACTCTACAAATGTGCCTCTAGACCTTTCCGAAATTCTCCCGCAACTCCGGGCGGCTTGCCTCGCGAGTTGGGAGGCAATGATGGAGCCAGCACTCAGGTCCTCCTCTCTGGCGGGTCTCCGGGAGGACTCCTCCCCGCGTCCATGGACTCGTCATCATTCTCGACTCCTCGACACTGCCATTACTCGTCTCCGGATTGGGCACACCTGCCTGGCTGCACATCTCCATCGTCTACGGCTGGTAGATTCCCCATACTGCCAGTGGTGTCCGACCCAGGAGGATACAGTGGAACACTTTCTTCTTCACTGCCCTCGATTTCATAGCGCTCGCGTCAGACTACAGAGTGCCGTTCGTAGGCTGAATATTCCCTGCCTCACAGTTCCCGTTCTCCTTGACGGGGCAGATGCGAGAGATGAAGACGTCCGTCATGACATCCTTCGCCATACCTTCCGCTTCATCCGTCATGTCAGTGGCCTGAAGAGACTGTAAAATTTGTGGCCTGGGGAGTTTGTAGGGTCTATGGCCTGAAGAGACTATAAGGACCCCATCCCTCCGCTATTTCCCGGTATCGGGCAGCCGGGACGCATCCGATTCCATGATCGTCGTCGCCCCTAAATCAACACAACAACAACAACACAACAACAACAACAACAACAACATTATTTACTTCTAATTTCATTATGAAGTTATATTATTTCAGAGTAAACAGATTTGTTCATATTCTGCATTTAGCATCAACATTATAGTGAGTAAATATATCATATTTCTTCATTACTTATATGTAATGCCAGGAGGCTTTGGATAATTCAACCCAACCCAAGAGCTTTTTTAAAACTGCCGTAAGTACCGATAGCCCAGCATAATTCTAGTAATTACAAAGTCACTGTCTAGTGGATCTTTTGTGCTGTCCGATTATATAGCTTGAAAAGAGCGTAAAAAAAAAGCGTATAGTTCTCGGTTCTAAACATAGTTCATAACTCATACTCGTGCTTTCTGACCTTTGAGTGTTAGCGGTTGTGTTATTATAAATTTTATTGGGAAAGGGAATAATGCACTTAATTTTGTAAACTAAAATAATTATAAATGTACAATCGTTCATAAATAAAGATTTTGAATGTATTTGGTATCCCGTTGATGTTTAAGAAACAAAACATTGTTACTGGCCGGCCGCCGGTGTCTCGCGTGGGGTCCTGCTCACGTATACTGCTGGTCCCGTTCTCCTTGACCCGGCAGGTGCCAGAGACGAAGACGTCCGTTATGACATCCTTCCCCATATTTTCCGCTGCATTCGTCACGTCCGTGGCCTGAAGAGGCTGTAGGGATCCCACCCCTCTGCATTATTTCCCGGTATCGGGCAGCCTGGCGTATTCGATCCCTCGATTGTCGTCGCCCCTCAACCAACAACAACCATACATTCGACGCTTTGGAGACGGACTCGTGCAGTCATCGGGAGGAGATAACATACATACTGCACGTATACCTACTGCATATACATACTGCACGTATACAAAAGACAAGCGTATATTTCCTCCTCTAGTGCTTTCGACAACCAAGCCAACTCCGTATTCATCTAATTCTCATCGTTGCGTCTTGTGTACGATGTGACCTGCATCCAGTGCTTGGAGGAGGAAATGTATCACTAGCATAAAGTAACAAGTTAGGGAGGTACTGTAGTTGCTAAACATTTGCAATCTTTCAAAGTTCGTCCGACAACCTGTAAGATTTGTCAGGCATCCTTATTCGACCACTTGCGCGGAACAACGTTTTGTACATTTAATTCAAATCAGTTCAATTTATCACGTACTAATAGATTATAATTTTTTTCTAGTTTGATCTTTGGACAGTGTAGATCTAGCACTGGCTTTACCACAAGGTGTTCGATATTTGCTGTTGGGCATAAATTTTTAGCTGCTAGGCTTTTGCATGCAGTACAGTATTGACACACAGTATTGTCTTAGCAGCAAGGCTCACGTTTTTGGCTGATTAACATTGATTTCCTTTGACAGTTGTAGTTATACTCCATTAACAGTTCTATTCAGAAAATTGGGTGACAAGGCTCGATATAAACTTCATCTGTCATAGTCCTTAAGTCCCAACAACAGCAACTCCCAAAATGATGGGCCACAGCTAAACAGCACAGATGATTGAAAGTACTCTCGACTGCCCACCAATACAAAATATAAATGTACAAAAGCAACAGATGTGATCAACTGATGCCATTACAATATCTGGCTAAGGCCTTCAAAGTGCTCACATCTACCTAACTTGTCAAGTGACGCATCGCCCTAAAACACCACACGTGCATCAGGAGAAAAACCCTCACTCAAATTACACATCACCAAAAAGATGATGATGTATTCCACGTCTCGATTATATCATATAACCAGGAGATTATCCAATATAATTGCATGCAAGGATTCATCAAGATGGTTCACCAGTGTAAATGATATAAAATCAAGTTGCCATATCAGGAAGTCTGCAATAACAAGACAGAGTGCATGTGCAGCATTTTACAGTAGCCATCCTGTGTGTAGTTTAGCTGTATGTTCCTCACAAGAGATATTACAGCAACAAAGTGCTTTACCAAGAACTACTGTGAATTATTATCAACATCGATATTATAGGTGAGTTTAGATTTAAGGGTGAATAATTTGGCCCATGTCATGGTGGAAATACTGATTTTTCACTGAGAATGGCATGGGAACGGTAATGGCAATGAGTGTCATGAAGGCAGATTTTACTATTGTTTTTTATGATTTAGTGGAAATGCCAATATCTGAATAACATTCAAATTTAACCAGGTAATAGAAATGCTAACTTGGTCAATTGTGTTGATACTGTACTTTAATATTTGTTCAGATTAATTATACAGTAGAAGTTCACCTTTTTTTGTATAATGGAATAGACTTCCATTACATCTGGCTCTCTGGTGCTCCAAGTTCTGTACAAGCAGGATTACATTGTATAGAGTAATGATAGTAATTTACTTATTTATGAAATAGTGTATATTGTATATGTTAGTTTTCATTCATAGTATAGTACAGTCACGTGTGCCCCCACAGTAGGTCTTTGGCTACCACATACTGTAATTTGATACTTTTCAGATTAATCCAAATTTTGGAGATGCAGTCTGGTAGGCAGTTTTGGTTCATAATTTAGAAATGCTTGCTATATTGTATGGCAATTCATATTTTGGAGGGTCTGTTGTACACTTAAGTGTAACAAAGAGTTGGAATAAAGCTATGGATGACTTGTTGGAGCGTGGCAGGTTTGGGAAGGTGCATTTCTGTGATGCTGTGTCGTGTGTATGTGTAAGAGAGGGAAATAGATGGCTGTCATTTTTGTAATATCTAGCCATTTTTAACCAATGCAGTTTCCCTGTCATCTCTGGCCTGATACCTTTCCTCCCCATGAATATAAATATAAATGTCGACATGCACTTTTCATACTGTATATGAAAGCACACATCTTTAGTTGGATATCAACAGCCAGTTTGCTTCAGATTTTAATATGCATATTAATATAGACAATGTTTTGCATTACAGTATATTTATTTTGTTAGCTTTGCCTTATAACATTTAACTACTCTTTGTTTCTGTATTGCATTACCCATTTTAGGCCTATGTAGGAGACATAAAATGTGAAAATAAAATATCACATTTCTTACTTAGCGACAGAAATATAACTACTGTACTGTAGTTTACCTATTTTTTGTCATTTCTTGTAACATTATACTGTACTGGGTATTATATTTGGATGAAAGCTCATAAATTTAGGAAATGAGTATTATTAAAATTGTTTGGGCATCAACATTTACTTTTGACATTTCTAATTCTATTTGCTTTTTGCCAATGTGTTTTTTCTAGATCAGGAAGAGATGGCCAGAGTGTTGAGAGACAAGGTGACAAGCAACAGCCCCAGAAACGTTCACCAGAGCTCATGGATTTTCCTTGGATCATATGGCCCAGTCTTTGGCACATATTTAGAAACTTTATATTTGCTAACCTTATTATCCATCGCTACCTAGATCAAGAATTTTCTTTATCTTCATTTAAAGCTGGAGCTATTCAGGTGAGTCTGATTAAATTGCCAGTACATTATTGTGCTTTATACTCGTTTCATGAAATGGGGTAAAATAATAAGAAAATTACGGTACATACCAGATGCAGATATGTTGGAGAAAGGCTTCCAGTAGTACTGTACTGTATTATGAATAGTGCTTTGCTGTACTTTATAAGTACAGTATTATGGTACTGAATTATAAATACAGTACAGTGTACTATACCAGTGTGGTACTCAATTATTAGTAGTATGGTTGTTTATTACAGTGCTATATAAGTAATACTGTTCTGATTATTGTTAATATCAATTTTTTTGAGCTTGCTCTTGGGTTGGTGGTTTTGGTCAAAACTGGTAAGCCTTCTTGTTTTGATTTGCATTTATGGTTGAGTAGCCTTACTATTGTTGAGTAGTGGTGTCTTGAACATAGTTCTCCAAGGTCTGTATTTCTGAGAATTTGATTTGAACTGTGATGTCCTGTGTTGGGTAGGGCCTTGCACAGAGATTTCACATCCTCAGGCACTACACTTTGATTGGCTGAATACAAGAAACTGCTAAATGTTCAGTGGCAGACAAACATGGCTTCGGTATACTACTGTCAGTGTGCTGTGTGACTCGTGAAATTTTAGCTAATGCCATACATAAAGTAGGCAGTTTCAATGCATAATGACTTATGAATAGCTTGGACATGGCAGTTACTTTACTGTATCCAGAGTCAAGTGCACATAAAAAAACATTTGGAAAATAAGATTTAGCATTGCCAGGGATACCAGGAACAAGAAACCTGTTAGGCTTATCAAGGTCCCTCCTCACCCAGCACCTTACTTTTCCAGAATGCAACTCACAACAGTTGACTTGTTTCCAGGTACCTGTACCTGTTTATTGCTAGGTGCACACAGATATCAGAAACATCCCCAAGTGTCTTTCTTCACCCCTTGAATCAAATTTGGGTTCAATTGGTTGTAAGCACATTTGTTAACCACTTAACTTCCACTTAAGTGGTTAAAGCGAGCATCTTCAGACTCTCACTACACTTCTACTCTATGTACAATGCACCTTAAATTATCATAGAAGTGTAATGCCAGGCATTCACTCCCAATAAGAAAATTTTCAGGTCACTGAAGGTGCTGTTCACTTGATAACTGCATCTTACCTGTAAGTAAAGTAAGTTACTTTTATATATATATTGTACTGCATAAATATCGGTATACTGTATATACAGCATATATTTTTTAATCTAATATTTAACATTTCCTCTTCTCGGCATACCATGGCCAAAACTGTAGCACCTAGAATATTTGGCCAATTTTGGTCAAACTCTTATCATTTTCTTCAAAATCATAAAAATTTATGTTTTTTTAATTTTGTAAAAAATATTACACTGGAAAGAGAGCTGCTGTAAAAAGTACTGGTAGAAAGGTTAAGGAGCCTGATGACAGGAGATTTTCCAAATATGAAATATAGTGGAGAAATTCTAAATAAATTTCCCATTATTTGGCATCGGCGTCATGAAAATTTCATCCCAATATGTTAACCCTTTAAGTGCGCAACACATCATATGATGTGTTCAGTGATTTGCAGTAACTTGCGCTCCACATCATATGATGTATTGGAGTACTATGCAAGATTTAAACGGCTTGCGGATGCACAGGGTTCACCACACCTACATCAGGGCTTTTGTAAACAGACGCCATTTTTTTTTTTAAATTGTGGGCCAAATTCCCGGGTGTGAGGGGTCTCAGTATTGAGTGAGCTACCAAGCCTGATGCATGCAGCATGAGCTCACAGCACTGCTGTTCAGCTTGTGACCACAGCATTGCCTAAAAATGCCATAATATACATGTTCATGCTATTATTTAGCGATGATATTATTACAGAAGACCCCTGACTGTGATAAAAAGGACCAGGATTCTGATAATAGCAAGATTGTTGTGATAATTAGCACTGTAGTGGGAGGAGTAATCTTGTGGGGAGGGAGGTTGCATTGTGTGCTGACTCTGTGTGACCACCTTTTACTGTCTGAACTCACTGTATCAGCTTAGTTGTTCGCTATGGTAAACAAAATATGCAGATACTTATATATAACGTCTGTATATAAAAGCAAAAACAGTATGGTGGGAGGAGAATGCACCTGAGGCGAGTCAGGTGAGGTGAGGGAGGGAGGGATTGGCAGTCAGTGGCGGGCTGCCACTGGCTGCCACTGCCACTCAGCATACCAACCTAGTGGTTCATTATGGTAAACACGAATGTAGATACTTACATATAACGTGTATATTCAGTGTAATAACAGCAAAAGGAGTGTGGGGAAGAAGCTATTTTGGTGATGGGTGTGGCAACATCTGCATTATTTGTCATGTTGGTAGGGGTGGCCACTATGCTGTTTGGGCATTTTACCGGCTTAGTTGAACAGTTATGGTGAACAAAACATGTAGATACTTATATATAATGTCTGTATATAGGATAACACCACAAACAGTATTGTTGGGGGGTGAAATTTTAGTGCGTCTGATCTTGAATGTGTGAGGGAAACAGCCGCCACCTGTGTGTAGCGACGTCTCTTAGTGCCTGAACTAACTATATCAACTTAGTTGTACAGTTGTGGTAAACAAAACATGTAGATACTTGTATATAACGTCTGTATATAGTGAATAAAAGTAAAAACAGTATTGTGGGAGGAGAATGTGGGTAAGTCAGGTGAGTTGAGGGAGGGAGGAAGTAGCAGCCAGTGGCGGGCTGCCACTGGCTGCCACTGCCACTCAGCATGCCAACTTAGTGGTTCGTTATGGTAAACACGAATGTAGATACTTATATATAACGTCTGTATATAGTGAATAAAAGCAAAAACAGTATGGTGGGAGGAGAATGTGGGCGAGTGAGGTGTTGAGGGAGTGAGTGGCTGGCTGGTGTGTGGCGGTCACTCCTCGTCGCTTTTTGACTCGTAATAGCAACGTAGTGGTTCGTTATGGTGAACAAAACCTGCAACTACTTATATATAACCTGTGTATTTAGTGTAATAACCGACAAAGTATTTGTTCACTGCTTGATGAGCATAATAATTGAATAAACAGTATGCACACCATATTTTTGAGTACAGCGATGATTCACTTATTTTATTATATAAATATATCACACTATACACTATTGAATAATATTACAGCAAAAAAATATGAAAAATCAATCAGAGACATTGAAATAATTAGGTAATTATCTCTTTGTGGCCACTCCTGCCTGACAGCTGGCGAGCAACAGACCGTTTGGAACGCACGCTGAGTCAGCACCTGTTTTTTGCCAAACTTCCCTTCCCTATAGCGGGCAATATATGCCACTTATGATTTTTTTATTATTTTTCCTATGATCAGAGAACACAAATTAACAGGTTTAGAAGAAAAAATAATTTTTGGTATGTGCCTGTGGGTGACAAATGCTAAATAGCCCAGAGCCACACAAGGGTTAAGAAATAAGTTTGTTACGAATTTATTAAAAATAAATGCATACGTGCTGGGCGGCAACCGGTACTGATAGTAACGATAACACCGCCAATTTACTGGCAGTCAGGGATAAAGAAATGCAAGCACCTGTCTGACACACAAAGAAGAAAACTAGTAATAAGGAGGGTTTACAAAGTTGATATGCAACTGGTGCCACCTGGAGGGCCAGATTTACACATAATAATGAGTTAGTACAGTATGTTGTTATTCTGTATTTTATTATCATATAAATACATTGCCCAATGGCAATATTTCTTGTGTCGCTTTGTACAAAAAGTTGACAACTTTTTTTTTTCTCTCCTTTGTTTCTATGTGAATTCTGTTATGACTTCTACAGTGTGGAAAATGCATATCCGGCACTAAGCATGTGAAGTTGGAATGAAATTTGTCAACAGGCTAATCAGCCACAGGTGGCAGAAGTACTGCAGTGACTTTTATTTTTTTTTGGCCTAGATATTTACAGATTTAAAACTCTATTCTTTGTTTATTTAGGTTGTATTGATGAATGAGGAGCAGATGAGGACCTTATCACTTATATATGGGCAATAAAGTTACTGCAATATATGTTTGTTACTGATCAACCAGGCTGTGACTCATATGTCAGGCTGCCAGCAGTTGCGTCCAACAGCCTGGTTGACCAGTCCAGCAACGAGAAGGACCGGGCCGCGGGGACGCTAAACCCGAAACCATCTCAAGGTAACCTCAAGGTTATCCCTAACGTTTCCCTATATTTTGTTTTTTTTTGGGGGGCTATTTTTTCTTGACTTCATTTCAACACATATTGACCTACAACTTTCACATTTGAGTACGAATGCTAAGTAATGTTTATTAAAACATACAGTACTACAAAATTCATTAATGACTACACTGTACTACCATATTCAGTCGATAACTTCAACTTCAATTATCTCTTAAGACAGGAATTTCAACTTTTGAGACTTATTAAAAAAATTCAGTATATGACCGATTCTCAAAATTTTTACATATTTTGTGCGAAGGTCTTAGTTCTAAGGTTTCCTTGTTGTCATTTAGTCATAGAGCCATAATGTTTGGAGTTATAAATTTTTTGTGTCTAAATTTTGCACATATTTGGATGGTCACATTGGAAAAATGTTTTACAGTAAACTATACTCTCAAACAATATTTTTCAACAAGGAACATGAAAGTTATATGTCATTCTGAGACCATAATGAATAAAATAACATTTGGTTACATTTTAATATTTTTATCACTAATTTGAAATTGTAATTTTTTTTTTTCTCTTCATGGTATGATGTTGATCCATTAGGAAAAGTTAAAGCATTTACCATGAAGATATTATTCACAAAAAAACTGAGTGTGTTTGAGGAAGTTTCAGTGCACCATCACCCTTAAGGCAAACTTGTTTCAGGCTTGTATGATTAAAGGTACAGTACTCAAATGAAACATGACAGCAATTTCAAAGATACAAGGCCATTAATATTACTGAAAGACATATTTTACATGTTGAGATCAGCACATGCATTTGTTTACTTGCAGACAACTTTGCACAGCCTAGTGAAAATTGCATTACCTGTATGAATAGTGCTGTAATGTATTGTGTATCATTGTATTATCTTTACAGGCTCTAGTGTATGTGTCTCAGGAGTTGTCGAAAGGCAACTTTGAGGCTCTTAATGAGCTTATAACAAAGCCAACTATTGAAGAAATGAAGAAAAACTTTGCTCGTTTCTCTATGAAGCAAAGATTGGACCTTGCTATTGTGGCTGAAGACATATTTTTTTCGTTCCCTTACCAAATTGGAATTATTTTCACTAATGAAGGTTAGTTACAGAAATGGAGAAAATATGACCTTTACCATGTAAAATTTGTTGAAGCAAGTTTTCAATTTGCGTTTTAATATTTAAGTACACGTTATGTCACATTGGTCTAATATACAGTATGTATGAATGGGAGCATGAGGGAGGTCAAAGTATGAATATTAGAGAAAGAGTTTACATTTATTGTAGGAAATAAGTAATTGGTGTGTAGTACAGTACATAAAGTTTGAGGTATGCAATGATAGGTTTTCTGTGGGGAGCCCTGTCGGCTCCCTGAAGCTATCCAAATTGACATGTGCCATATTACTTTGGTGTCATCAGTCCATGGATTTCTGTTTTTCTCGTGGAGTTTTCCTATCCTCTGTCTCTGTATGAATTTGAGCTGGGTGCGGTTTCCCCTTTCGCAAACTAGTTCGTTTCCGGGTGGTTTGAGTTCCTTGGATTCGTCCTTCCTGAGGTTTCCTTCCTCTCTGATTTCCCCTGCGAAAGTTCGGGAGGCCCTCGGTGCCTCCCACCTGTGAGATCTGGGTACGCCTCTATTTTGGAGCCGTCTCCTTTTGAGTAAGAGGCACTCATTGAGGAACCCTAACAAGCCTTCCCCCCCTCTCCCTTCCTGCAAATGTTGCAGAGTGGGCTTGTTGGGGTTCCTTAATGAGTGTCTCTTTGCCCCTGTGCTTTCCTGTGATGTGGGTCTAGTGCAGTTCTGTGCTCAGATCCCTTCTCCTTCGGCAGCTTTAGTGGCGGATGAACTTTGAGCTTGCTGTCATTGGCCTCGGTCTTGCGATTCTTTGGTTGTCTCGGGCTGATGCCGGACTGGCTTTCAGAGGATTTGAGGCGTTGAGTGGTGGGCCTTCGGGCGGGGTTCTGGTTTCGGCTGGCGAAGTGTGGGCTGCACTCCTGGAGCTGTTTGTGCTAATCCTCCAGGAGGCGGTTTCAGTGTTTTGCCTCGTCCTCGCTCTCTCCTATTTCGCTTGGGCCCCTGGCTTTGCAGTCTTCATCTCCGTTCTGTTTCCTGTTAATTCCGGAAGGCTGTTACTCGGTTCTGTCAGCGGCTTCTACTAGTTGCCGTCCCATTTTTTATCTGTTGGTGTTTGGGGGGGGGGGAGGTTCTCGCTCCTCTTGGGGTGGTTGTGCCAGGGCTTGGGTTTTGGTAGGTCGAGGTGGGCCATTGGGGTGTCAGTTTGGAGCCGGTGTGTTCTTCGGGGCTTTGTTTGTCTAGTAGGTGCGGTGGTCACTGTGTTTGGAAGTGGGCTTCTCGGAGGTCACGTCGGCTTTTTCGCGGGGCGATGGGGGAATGGTTGGCTCTGTTTGCCCATGCTTGGTCCCCTCGATTTGTGGGTTTTTTGCGTCGTCTCTTCCAGCCTTTTGTGGCGTTGGGCAGAGGCTCCTCCTCTCGGGGGTTCAGGGCTGGCAAGGCAGGCTTCTTCCTTGTCTCTGTTGGGTTATCTTGGAGTAGGTTCGCTTGGGCATGGTCGAAACGACTTTGTTCCTCAAGTCGGTTTCTGCTTGTTTCCGGTTCTGCAACGGGACTGTGCAGATGTTCAGTTCATTCTGGACTTGACACGTCTGAACCGTTTGCTTCCTTGCCCCTCCTTTCTGATGACTGTTGTACCAGGTTCGGCTTCTTCTCGAGCTGGGTGCTTTGGTGATTTCTCTGAACCTCAGGGATGCTTCTTGGTGCATTCCTATTCATCTGGGGTTCAGGGGTTGGTTGGGTTTTTTGTGATTGGGCGTCTGGGTTTCCGCTTTCGTTGCCTGGCACCGTGTGTATTCATGTGTTTCACCAGGGTCATTGTGGCCCGTCTTCATCTGCTCCGTGTTCGGGTTCTGGCCTACCTCGACGACTGGTTGGTTTGGGCTCCCAGTCAGTCTGCGTGTCTGCTTGTCAGGGAAGTGGTTCTTTCCCAGCTTGCTGGGTTCGGGTTCCTGGTGAATTGGAGGAAGTCCCATTTAGTTTTGTCCAGGGTTTTGGACTTGGCTGGGACTCGTGTGGAATTCTCATATAGTGTCCATTCTCTCCCTCCTGTGACTTTGCTTCAGCTGCAGTCCCATCGTCTACTGTTTTTGAGGGGGGACCCTGGTCACTCTATGGTTGCTCGAGCAGCTGTGCGGGAGCCTGGGCTTTGCCTTGCGAGTTTTCCCATTTGGCAGGGTGTGGCTTCGGTGGCTATTCTGGTATCATCAGGGCAGCCCCTTTTGCCATTCTCGGGATCACTGGATTCGGCAGCCAGAGTCCTTGCATCTCCGCTTCCTCTTCGGGGTTTGATTCCACGGCACCTTCCCCTTCCTTCGCTCGATGTGTTCACGGATGCCTCATCTCTCGTCTGGGGTTTTGTGACAAGTGCTTGCCAGGCTGGCCAGGGGCATTGGGCTCACAGCACTGTGTGGGCTTTTGGGACTGGTAGGCACTGCGGCGGATTCGGTTGCCTCTGTGATTCGGCTCCTTTCGGACTGCTCCCCTGTGGTTCCTTCTCACCTGGGGGGATGGGTCTTTGTGATCCATGTCTCTTTGGGGCTGGTTGCTTCAAGAGGCTCTTCTGCTGGGTTCTCTGGGTTTAGCTCTCCGCATCTTTCTCATTCAGGGGTGTCAAACGTCCTGGCAGACGGCCTGTCTCGCTTCATTCCCCTTTCCATGGAGTGGATGCTCGATGCCGCCTCTTTCCTTTGAATTGTCGGATGTTTGGGCGCCCGGGAGGCGGACCTCTTCACATTGGCTTGGTCCTGGCGCCTCCCAATATATGTAGTGGCGTTCATGGCCATGGCGTTCATTCACTTCCTGGCAGGATTGGTCGAGGTTCCTGTACCTTCATTCCCCGGTCCAGCTGTTTCTTCAGGTTGTGGCTCGGCTCGATTCCTTTGGGGAGAGTGGTTCTCCTGTCCCCATGGTGGCCGGCCCAGTCTTGGTTTCAGATGCTGCTTGCACAGTGTCCGAACCTGGGTGTTTTTCCGTGGCTCTGCCCCTTTCAGCAGGTTGGGCCAGTGAGGTGCCTCACTGGTTCCACTTGCTCTTCCCCTTTTCGTTTCTAGGGCTTTTGACGCGAGTGTTTGCCATTTGTATTATGATCAGGTGGGTTCATTGATGGTGTCCCACCTGTGGTCTTCCTCTCAGGGAAGGAGAGGAAGAGACTTCATACTTCTTCACAGTATGAAGTCTTTTGGCAGTTTTTCAACCATTTCCTTTCCTTTGTAGGGTTTTTTGTTGTCTGTTTCGTTTGTTTTGTCCTTTCTTGGCTTTTTCAGGACTGGCGATGTTGGACGACCTAACGTTTAGGGAGCATAACCAAGCAACTTTAAAATCCAGAGTCAATGGTTGTACTCTTCAAATCACTTGTGCTGTCCCGGCTTGAGTACTGCTCAGTGCTCACTTTCACCTTCAGAGCAGGAGAAATTGCTGAAATAGAGGGAATACAGAGAACATATGCGGCATACTTAGACGCGATAAAGCATCTAAACTATTGGGATCTTCTCAAAGCTCTCCAAATGTACTCACTAGAAAGGCGATGAGAGAGATACCAAATAATATATACATGGAAAATACTGGAGGGCCAGGTCCCAAATCTGCACAGTAAAATAACAACGTACTGAGTGAACGATATGGAAGAAAATGCAGAATAGATCCAGTGAAGAGCAGGGGTGTCATAGGCACAATCAGAGAACACTGTATAAACATCAGAGATCCGCGGTTGTTCAACATCCTCCCAGCGAGCATAAGAAATATTGCCGGAACAACCTATCCTATCCTATACTATTGCTTCCTGTGATGCAGTGCTGGCGGAGCTGATCCAGCTTGCGTTCAGGCTGGCTGTCACTTCCACTCCATTCCACGAGCTCTCTCATGAGTTTTTCACCTCCAGCCTGCTTTTGCACTGCCTGAGCCTTCTTGGTCTTTAGACCGGGTGCTCTCGTTTCTCTCTTCCTTGTTTTGTAGAGGCCTCTTCTGTCTGGGATTGTTTTCTCAGGACTATGTTCTTGTTGGTTTTAGTGTCTGAGGGTCGGGTGGGGGAGCTTCATGTTCTTCTCAGGCGCAGGGGTTTCAGCTCTTTTGGTCCTAGGGGTCGTTTTGCTCGTTTTCAGCCTTCTCCTTCAATCTGGGAGGGGGGGTGTGGTAATTGAGCTGGCTGGTTTCCGGAGGGGGTCCTTGGGTTGTTAATGCTTGATTGGTTAGGCAGGGGGTGCATCATGTTTTATGTCCGGTTGTGGCTTTACAGCAATGCCCTATGAAAACTCCACTCTTTGAGAATATATTCATGTCTGCCATTGACTGGGGTAAGGCACCCAGGAAGATCGGCATCCCAAAACAAACCCCAACTGGTAGAAAATTGTAACCCAAGACCAAACAGACTCCAAGAACTCCCCCCAAGAAAACAATGCAACAAGCAAAATGTCACCAAACTGATGCACCGCTCACCCGAGTTGGCTGCTCATCTACCAGTTCGTCGACTGGGGCTGACGTTCCCTCTGGCCTCAATCTCCTGTCAGGATTTTGCCCTTGCGGCTGGGCCTGCTGTGTGGGTGGTGCAGTATCCAGGAAATGCGGTAATCCGGGCTGCATGCGCTTAGGGTTCTCTTCCCTAGATGCCCTGTGAATACTTCCCTTGGGTCTCGGTGTTCTCTTCCCTGGGGCTTTTGGGTTCTCACTTCCGTAGGGGTTGCTGTTGCTTGACATTGACCACGCCCTTGGGGTCAGCGAGGGGTCTTGGTGCTTTTGTGTGGGTCTGGATAGGAAGTGTTTGTTACTGGTTGGGGTGCACGGTGCTGTGCAGCTTGTATACCTAATGGTGCTTGTCTCTCTCTCTGGCCTCTTGTTATTGGTGTGCTTTCAGGGCTTTTGTTTTAATTTATTTTCAAGTTATTTCCTGCCTGGTGGAGGTCTGCCTGGCTTCTGATTAGGTATGCCTAGGTTCCTTTAGGTGGTCCTCCTCTAAGCCCTTGAGGTTGCACTCTTCACAGGGGGTCAGTTTGCCTGGTAATTGACGGGGATCAACCGGCTTTGCAGCACCAGT